AAAGTTTACAACAGTACTGTAAAACAACATAGGCCATAAATTACTGCTTGCAGATGTACCATACGGCTAAGAGCCAATGAATATTTAATACGTTCTGCTTGTGAAACTGATATTTCATTCAACATTTCATTCTGTTTCCAGATATCTGACAAAATAGATGTGCTCACAAAAGCATCCATTATAAATAGAATAGTTAGTCTTCAAGGTGCCACATGCTTTTGTCTCGTTTTGCTTTGCTTCTTTGGATTTGGCCTGATATCCTCCCTTTATGTGAGTGTGTTTCGTTTGTCCATTGGGTATTTAAAAAAACTATAACAGGCACATTCAAATTTCAAAATGAATTTATCTGCTATGATAACCTTAGCTGGCTGAATAGTTCAGTGGTTTAGGTATCTGGCTATGGAGCCAGAGTCTGGGAGTTTGATTCCCCACCGTGTCTTTTAGGAGAAGAGCCAGCCTGTGTGGTCTTGGGCAAATTGCACAGCTCCAGGATGCCCCTAGAACACGAAAACGATAAAGCACTTCCGAGTATTCTCTACCTGGGAAATCCTGCAAAGGTTCACCATAACTCAGAACTTGACTTGATGGCATATGATGATGATTAAGATCATCTTATTAAATTTGTAACCTACTTTTTATGATAGTATTCTGGAAACACTTGTGCTAATATGTAGTAATTCCCAAGCTAGGAAGCTCAAATGTTCTTGGCCTACAATTCCCAGAACCTCATATCATTAGCTGTAATGGCTAGAGCTTCTGGGAGCACAAGACTAAAGTACATAAATGGTATAAAAATACTTTTCAGGAAAGGTATGGGGGTAGCTTACTGGTGAACTCCGGATGCCATAATTTATGCTGTGTAAGGCTGATGATGTCAACAGCAGCAGCAATATTTTGGAAATTAAACATTTCTGGACTATCTCTCAAAGGTCCCCAGTGCTCTCATGTGATCCCTTTCATTGTTGGGAAACCATGGGTGCAGCAGGACAGGAGGGGAAGATGCTACTGAAAATCGTTGCCCCCATTTCTTATCCCATTCCATGGCCTCCATGGCTTTCTGATGATGAAAGGGATTATATGGGAGCCTTAGAACCTTCAGGAGAGAAGCCAGAAATGTTTGATTTCTGAAAAATTGCCACTGCTGCTGATGTTATCCATCTCCTGGAACAAAGGTTACAGCAACAGGATTTCACCCGTTAGTAGGTTGTTTTGATGTACATTTAATAACAACTTC